AATCACGTTTTTAATATGAAAACACATGATTAGTAATCTAAACAACCATCCAACACTAAATCACAACATATCACACAAATTTACAACCCATATTCACCATTACCATATCTAAAACATCTAATGTAACAAAATCACATTCATAAACCTACAACATATAACATTTTATATATGAAACAAACAATTCGGTTAATAATCCAAACTCACGTTTTTCATATATAAAAACGTGATTAGTATACACAAAGCCATTTTATAATATTAAAAAAAAACATTTTGTAATGAACTTTTAATATAAAACAGCAATCTAACACTAAATTCATCACTAATTTTACAACCCAAATTCACCATTGACCAATCTAAACCACCTACTCTAACAAAATCAAATTCATAAACCTATAATATATCAAGTATATATATGAAATAAACAATTTACTTAATAACACACAAGAAAACTTACATATTTTCGGAAGAATCTAGAGAGAAATGGGAGAAGAAACGTTTAGAGAGAGATAGTAAATTTTGAAAATGAAGGAGAAAAAATCTGATCTTTATCATTTATTGAGATTTTTCTACGGATTTTCAACCGAAAGTGCCATTGGAAATGAAATCCGTCAGAAAATCGTCTAATTTTTAGAATTTACCGCGAAATTAAAATTCATTCAAAAAAAATTTGGCGGTTTTTCAAAAATTTTGGCGGTCAAAATCCAAAATCGGTCAGAAATCCGTGGAAAATCCGTCGGAAATTTCCACGGCAGTTATGTTTTTTTTCCTTAAACTATTAAGTCGTTGAAAATCGTTTGGAAAATTCCCACATATTTCCTAGGACTTAAAGTATAGGGTATGCAAAAATGATTTAAAAAACGTCAAAATACATTATACTGAAAGAATATTATCATCACCCTACAAAAACATGTTTGAATTTAATTTATGTGTAATGTACAAAACATGTATGCAAAAATGAAAATAACTCTAATGATCTATACTATAACTTAAATTAGAAATTGTAAAGCTCTTATGTAGAAATTCTGACATTCTAAAATGAAAACAAGTTGTTTATCATTTTATTTGATCAATTATATTAAGAGTAACTTATCTTATCTTGTAGGATTAATTTTTTGAATATTAAGAGTAAATTTTGTAACTTTAAACCACATTCTCAAGGAAATCTGTGGGAAACTTTCCCACGGATTTTCGACAAAATATGCAAGCCGTCAGAAATCCGTGGAATTTTCTTTTTCTAATTTCCGATGGAATGCGTTTTCCACGAATTTCTGACCGATATTTCCAACCGAATTCCGACGGGATGAATTTTCCACAGATTTCCGATAGAGTTTTCCAACCGAATTCCGACGGGATGAATTTTTCACAGATTTCCGATAGAGTTTTCCAACCGAATTCCGACGGAATGAGTTTCGTCAAAAATTTCCAACCGATTTTGGACTGAGATTTTTTCCGTCGAAATTCGGTCCAAAATACATCGCAATTCGGTGGCAAATTTCCGACGGATTATAGTCCGTCTGAAATTGGCATGTTTTCTTGTAGTGATAAAGTCCCAATTGTCTCGGACCATTTGTACCAAATACACTTAG